GAGTTTACGCATAGCAGGGACATCCCTATGAACCCCCATAGATACCAGCAGGCTAATGGAAAGGGGTAGTTGTTGTTTGATTTATGAAATATAAATTTATAATGTGTGCATATTACCAATTGCATATGAAATCATGATAAGTGCTATGTTATTATCTCTATAGGTTGTTTTTATAAATCTCGCTACGGTAAATGGACGGTAAATAGTTTTATTACTAATAAATGCATTTGTTTGATTAAGTGCTCCATTAGTTATTTCAATTTTCTACCAACCTTCATTTCTTTGTCGGTGTGTAACGTGATATTCTTACTAGACTAGTGTATCTCATTTCTTATTTAACCATTTCAAATCAAGATGACCAAGATCCAGAACCCAATCTACAAGAGAGTTGTGAGTAGGATGCTAGTTTTATTTATTTTCCGTTTATTTCCTTATTTTTTTGTATTTCTTTCAAAAAGGTAATTTTCATAGCACTATTCGGTACTTTAAGTTATTGTGTAAGGAATGTAAATATTAACAATTTATTTCATTTCCGTATTTAATTTATAATTTATTTTCTTTGGACATCCCGGGGTCGTTACACCTACGTTCATTCAAAATCACATTGTTTTATATTTTCATTTAAATTACACCCTCTAGATGCGTGTAGAAAACTCATTAAAAGTGGTCAAAAGAGTATTGCAATTCTTACCTACTGTGTGATAAAAAATGCTCTTTGTACTTGTAATGTCCATATTTATCTGCTGACACCATATTTGTACTTATAATGTCCAACTGTTGCACATGGCTGTGCAATGGTTGCTACTCATCAATATTAATTTCATAATTTGTATATATAGGAAATTAATTAAAGTACAATACATATATTTAATCTTTAAAATAAATTAAAATTATATAAAAGCTATTTTATACAAATATATCATTTCTTTTAAAAACATTTTCATATTCTATTGTGTTTAATACTTTCTTTTTGTATTTTTTATTTTGTTGCCATTTTTTGCATCAAATGTATATGTAATTGGGAACTCATATAAGAAATTTTGTATCAAAAATTTTCGCTACATATATTCTATTTAAATGCACTCGTATTCTATATCGGTATCTAGCATCCTTTTACTATAATTAGTATTGGGAATGTCACATCATGAAGTGGCTGCAATTAGATTGTAAAATTGAGTTTTATAAGTAATCAAAATTAAATGATTAATTTTTACATAATAGAATTGTAAACATACCTCAGCTTCTATTTCAGCAGTATTTGTCTTACTAAATGATGAGTCATCCATGAGATCAACCTTAAATAGGTTCAAATTTTGAATATAACTTACATATGCCTTTGCTATGCGGATTGACTTTATATATATCACAGAAAGAATAACTATTTTAGAAATCATCAGTAGTTACTTAGGAAATATCTAAATAAATAAAGTTGAATTGATTAAAATAAACTTACAAAGTTATTGGTCATATGTCCAAAGCAATATGTAACATATCATGAATAATTTATTATACATGATAAATATACCAAGACTATGTTATATTTATACTCGTTACTCTAGTGCTGTCCAAAACGGAAAGTGATCAATTTGAGGATTTATAGAAAAGCCAACAGTAACTTTATACTAAATTAATTTGGTTATATCTCTTTTTGAGGAACTTAATGTTAATTTTTCTGAACCACTTATCATATGACATGATACCATTGGCAACATGATATATTTACCCATTAATCTTACATTCATGAGAAATAAAACACATATAATTGAATTTTCACTTTGTTAAGTAACATACTGTTTCTCAAAACTAGTTAGGCATATCATTGCCAACAAAGATAATGATATATAAATTTATTAATTAAACTATTGCCTCAAACATTTTTACGAGGTTTGAAGAAAAGCTTAATATATGGGAAATCAACCTTGTGAAGTTTCAAGTGTTTTAGTACGTACTCACTCTCATCAAGTTTATCTATCACCTTTATTTAAAAGGAGTGTCAAGATTTATAGCCTAACTTATATATTTGATTCGTATGTTAACTATCTCTCTAGTTCTTATTATTAAACCTATCATATATTAGAAATTTTAAATAAATATTGTATTTTTCAATGAAAAGATAGTAACTATTTTTTTCAAATTTCTCACTATGCACTAATTACATTTGTACGGCCCTTTCTTTGTATATATACTTATGGAGTAATTGTGCACAACTTACATATATAAACAAGGTGTTACAAAATACTAGTGATGAAAGTACCATATATACGTATATATTTATATAAATTATTACTCACATTTGGATATATATACAACCATATATGGATATGTATACATAGAAAAGTTGTTGCATACAATTAAATGAAATAAGTAATATATATCATAATTATCTTAGTTATTTAATCGTGGAAGCTAAAACATATCTATTATAAAAATCTCTTATGTTATATATTATGTTTAGTTGAGGAAATATATGCATATTAAAATACCCAATCTTCTTAACAACATTTTACATACTAGTAAAAAGCAAGTATATTAGTGTCCAATTTAAATATGGAAATAAAATATTTTAATAATAAAAAATAATAAGTGATAGTAAATAAAATTTTATACATCTATATGATTTAATTTAACAAATATCAAACTATAAATGAGTAACTTTCTAATAAAGTAAGTGGTAAGTGGTAATAAGCCAAAAATTGACAAAAAAATTCTCAGGTTAAAAATTGATAATCTCCCTTACCCTTCATACACATTGCTTAAAAAATTTGATAAGCATCTATAATAAAGTTTTCAAGGTGATTCTTTTTCAATATCTAAGACAATATTCATTGAAAGATTATTTTGTGAATAATATTTACAGAAAGCATTATCCAAATATTAAAGTATGATAGAAACAAAGTGTCAACTATCTATGTAGTTCAAATAGAACTTCTATCAATGTAAAACATTAAAATGGAGGTAATAATCTTTCTTAGAGAATTTTTTATATCGAATAAATTGTAAAAAATTATATTATGCCATTTATTTCAAAACGTGAAAATTTTTCATGACTTAAGAATTTTAAACTTTTTTCATTAAGACATTGATGAGATTTTTCTTAAAGATCTAGCGAAAAAAAACTTGGTGTTCTGAGTAGCATCCTAATAACCCTAGTCTATATCAATGAGAGGTTGAAAGCGTTACGTTCTCTTTTAATAGTAAATAAGCTAGTAAATTTCATAAAAAAAGATAGGTTTAAGGTACATTTTTAAAGTTTACTTTGAGATAGCTTTTCTAATCAATTTCAGGAAAGAATAAGATTTCTCATTCAATCTCTTTTTTTCTTTTCAATCTTGTGAAAGAAGGTCTTCAAGTTACAGGTAATTTTTTGAAATATGGGCAATGGCTATTAGTTCTAGGATGCTTCTTAATTTTGTTAAGGAAAAGTTTTCCTCAACATAATATTGGAAGGTCAATGATATCATGAGGGAGTTTAGGTACTTTCTACAAACGTTAGACCTTAAAATCATGTTTTTAAAAATATTTTATGAGAATCGAAACGGATCAATAGTCGATAAATATAGAAGCTAATTAGATTGACTATTAAACTATTATATTTTCTTATAAACTAGATATGAATATATTCTAAATGTAAGAAGAAAATGAAAATCACTTGAATTTCCTCTTAAACATGAATTTTATTATTTGATGAGCCTTAAATGGACTCTACTTCAAAGTAATACATTTATTTATATTTATAATCTCTAGTTGTTGGATACGTTTATTTATTAACTGTAGAGAAATTTTTTTATTTTTATAGTTAGTTAATCAAATAGGATATGATAAAATTCACTTAATTAATGCGTGCATGCACATATAA